ACACACACACACACACACACACACACACACACACACACACACACACAACAAAAAAAAACTGCAGACAGCTAGGGAACACTCATGTTTAAAGAAAATATTACATGGGCCTTCCATAGAAGACCTCTGAAAGACTACCCACCAGGGTATCAAAGCAGATACTGAGACTCACAGCCAAATTTAGCCAGAGTGCAGGAATCCTTATGGAAGAAGAGAGAGATAGAAAGACCTGTAATTGTCAGGAACTCCACAAGGAGAACAACAGAGCCAAAATACCTGGGCCCAGGGGGAAAGGGGTTGCAGAGTCTGATACTCCAACCAAGACCATGCATGGAGAGGAATTCCTACTCCTGTTCAGGGGTAGCCCGTAGGCTACTCAGTTTCCAAGTGGGTTCCTTAATAAGGGGTACAGGTGCTGTCTCTGTACTCAATGGCAGGCTCTTTGATCACCTCCCTCTGGGGGGAGGGGGCTTGCAGCCTTGCCAGGCTACAGAGGAAGATGTTGCAGCCAGCTTTGATGAGACCTGACAAGCTAGAATCAAATAAAAGGGGAGGAGGCAATGGTGGGATCTAGAAAAGATCATTCTGGGTGAAGTATCCCAGAAGGAGAAAGACAAACATGGTATATACTCGCCTATATAGACCTACAAGATATGATAAAGATAATGACGTCTACATACCTAAAGAAGATAAACAAGAAAGCAGACACGAGGTAAGATGATCAATCCTCACTTAGAAAGACAAATGAGATGTGCATTGGATGTATGACAGGAGTCTACTACAGAAGGCATCTGAAAGACCCTACCAAGCAGCATTTCAAAACAGATATTAAAACTCATAACCAAACCTTTGGCAGAAGGGGAGTTAGTATGACGTGGAAAGGATAGGAGCCCCACAAGGACCAAATATATCCGGGCACAGGGTTTTTTTTTTTTTTTTCTGAAACTGTTTCTCCAACCAAGGACCATGTATGGATATAACCTAGAACCTTTACTCGGAAGAAGCTCGTGGTAGCTCAATAACCAATTGGTTTCCCATAATAAGGGGAACAGGGACTATCTCTGACAGGAACTCAATGGCAGGCTCTTTGACCTCCCAACCCCCCAAGGGAGGAGAAGTCCTGCTAGGCCACAGAGGGGGACTTTGCAGCCAGCCCTGAAGATACCTGAAAAAACAGGGCCAGACGAAAGGGAAGGAGGTCCTCCCCAATCCGTGGACTTGGAAAGGGGCAGGGAGAAGCTGAGGGAGGGAGGGTGGGATTGGGAGGGAATAAGGGAGAGGGATACAGCTGGGATACAGAGTTAATAAAATGTAACTAATAATAATAAACAATAAAAAATAAAATAAAATTTTTTAAAAATTTTTTAATTTTTTTTTAATTTTTTTTATTAATTACACTTCACTCATTCTGTTTCCCCCCATAAGCCCCTCCCTCCTCCTCTCCTGATCCCACCCTCCCCCCCTTTCTGCATGCATGCCCCTCCCCAAGTCCACTGATAGGAGAGGCCCTCCTCTCCTTCTCTCTGATCTTAGTCCATCAGTTCTCATCAGAAGTGGCTGCATTGTCAGGGTTCTAGGTTATCTCCACGGATAGTCCTTGGTTGGAGTATGAGTCTCTGGGAAGTTCCCTGTGTCCAAATTATCTTGTTCTGTTGCTCTCCTTGTGGAGTTCCCGTCCCCTCCAGCTCTTACTATTTCCCACTTCTTACATAAAATTCCATTCACTCTGCCCATCAGTTGGCCATCAGGCTCAGCATCTGCTTTGACAGTCTATACTGCAGAAGCTTTCAGAGGCCCTCTGTGGCAGGTTCCAAGGTTGTTTCTTGTTTACTTCTGGCTTTCAGAGGCCCTCTGTAGCAGGTTCCTAGGTTGTTTCCTGTTTTCTTTTTCTTCTTATGTCCATCCTCTTTGCCTTTCAGGATGGGGATTGAACATTTTAGTTAGGGTCCTCTCTTTTTCTTAGTTTGTTTAGATGTACAGATTTTAGTGGGTTTATTCTATGTTGTATGTTTATATGAGTGAAATAAAAAAAACTTATACACAATTGAAAAATAAAAAAGAAAAAAAAAAAGGGAGAGGAGGTCCTCCCCTATCAGAGCACTAGGGAAAGGTCATAGGGGAAGAAGAGGGATGGTGGGTGGGAATAGGCGGAGAAGGGTGAGGGGGCTGCAGAGGGGATAAATGCATAAATTGTAATAATAAATATATAAATAAAATTAAATTTAAAAAACGTGTGGCATATCAGTTCAAAATTTCAAACTTTTGTTTTATTTTCAAAATAAACATGTAATATTTGAAAAATAAAAGAGAAAGTATTAGATACATCCAAAGCTTCATGGCAGAAACTGTAGGTAGCTTTAAAACCAGAGAAAAGTGTTGAAAATGAAGCCTGCGTTACAGAGTACGGTGCATGTCAATCTGAAAAGTTTCTGTATAGGTCCACAGAAAAGCAGTGCATTTTAGTACAAGGAAGCTCTTGGGGCTGTGGCAGTAAGAAATGCTGCAAAAAGAAAGGGACTAGAAGCAGTTTCAAATACTGTTATAATACTTCTCAATAAAAATCAGGGAGGACTCTGGAATGAAGTAAAAAGGATGTGAGATATCTGAGGACGTTAACAGGCCAGGCTTCTAGAGGATAGGAGGGGAAAGTTGTAGAGAGCAGACACAAGAATCCGTACTAGATAAAGAATGAATGAATAAGTGAGTGAGCAATTGGTTGGACATATGCATGGAGGAAAAAATAATGTAAGACATGATGAGTTCCATTATACTTTCCAAGAAATTGAAATACAGTCAGTAAATCTGTTCCTAAATATTGTTAAAAGTGAAAATAACAATCGAAGCCTCCATACAATGAAAAGACAGGTGCACTGCTGAATTTTACAATGCCCAAAAAGAATAACTATCATCTATGGTCTTCAAACAACTCAAAAAATGCAAAAGAAAGGCACAACTACCAAACACATTATAGTGAGGTAGCATGACCATGATACCAAAACAGACAGACAACCAAAACAGTGAGGCAATTAACTTGAAAAAGAGCAATGGAAGACACAAGTTAGGGGATATAAGAAGGAAGGAAAGTGGAGAAATTATGTAATCATATTGCAATTTAGAAAAATTAAAATTTACATTCTTCCTGAAAGTATTCAAATATATAATGAATTTTCTAATTGAAATATAATTCATATTGTATTATAAATAAATATTTCCTAATTGAAATTCATTACATATTTGAATACTTTCAGGAAGAATGTAAATCCTGAGACACTTTGAAAGCAAACAAATGATGTAAACAATGAATTAAATTCATTAAACTATGGGTTATCATTATGAATCCCCATTTATATACATGATTAAGGAAGAAACGGTACATACTCAAGTATGAGCAATAAAATCACAGCCAGTCAGAGAGGAATAACTATTAATGTGTTACAGAGGTTTTTTGTTTGTTTGTTTTCCCATACCATGACTTTTCAGAAAAAGAATA